CCCCGCGCCTGCCCCAGCCGCCGCAGACACCCACCAACATTCAGAACTTCCAGCTGCCCCCAGGTGAGTGGCCGCCCCCCGCGGGGAGGGGGCGGGTCTGCGCGCCCCGGAGTTCCGGGGAGTTCCGGGAAGTGCGTGCGTGCGACGGAGGCTAAGGTCACCCGTGTCCTGCTGGCCCGGCTGGGTTTGGCTGCCATGCAGGGGATGGGGCAGTACAGGTGTAGCCTCTGCACAGGTGTTGTGACAGCACAGCTTGGGAGTGTTGGGTGTGTGTTTACAGTGCTGTATGTAATGTACACCTGTGAGTGTATGTGCACCTGTGCATGTACACCCTTCGGGGTGTGTGTATACCTCAGTGCGAGTGTGTGCACCTGTGTGTGTGTTTACAGCCCTGTATGTGATGTACGCCTGTGTGTGTATTCCTGTGTATGTGTGTGTGTGTAAGGTCCTTTTCTGTGTATGTGACATGTCTCTGTGTAACACACGTCCGTCTGTGTGTTTGCCTCCATGCCTCTGTGCACACTACTGGGTCTGGATTTCCCGTCTGTGATGTCCTCGGTCTGTCACTGTGTATGATGCCTTTATAGCATGTCTTGTGTTGCTTGTCACTGAGTCGCACTTGGAGTTGAGTGGTGCTCCTCCTCACCTGGCCTGTGTCTTTCTGTCTCTGTGGGCAGCACTGGCGGCATTCACGGTGGACAGGCTATTTCTCTGTTCAGAGTGTGGGCCTTATGCTACGGTTGCCCTCACCCTGGAGCTTTGGCAGCTGGGGCTTCCCTTTCCTCCTGTTTGGCTGTGTCCTCACCTGACTTTTGCTCCTGTGCCACCTGGCTCTGTTAGTGTCCCTAACGGGGCTGGAGAGACCCCCTTCCAGAGGTGTGATTGTGGCAGAGCGACCCCTCTGTGGGAGCGGGGGAGGCGTGCACCTTGCCTGGGTGGCGGGGCCCCAGCGCCCTAGTCTCTGGCTCACCCTGAGCGGAGCCCTCCCTGCACACGGCCTTTCCGGCCTGCCCTTGTTCTCAGCCGTGCGGGAGTGGCATCCTAGCTGCACCTGTCATGTTCCTGTATTTTCAGCTCGGCGTGGTCTCCTCCAGACTGCTGGTTGGTTCTGTGACTATTGGAGTCCTTAGCGGTCGGAGGCTCTCGGCTACTGCACTGGGTCCCTGGGTGGTTCGAACCCAGGATGTTTACAGAGGGAGACTGGGCTCAGCAGCTGCCTCAGCCTTCAGCGTCGGGCTGGCGCGGGCTGCCGCTGTCCCTGCAGCTGAAGTTTGACAGTGAGGGATTCCCTGAGCAGCCCGCCTGTCGCAGGTCTTAGAGAGAGAGCTTGCCACTGGAGCACCGCCTCCTCTGCATCCACTCCCCCGGCTGCAGGGCTGTGGGCTTGGCCTGAGGCTCCGCCCTCGCGGGTCACGTGGGCGTGTGCAGTTGTATCGGGGAGAGAGTGCTGTCCACGCTGCCCCTGGCCCGGCCCCTTCTGCTTGCTGGAGCAGGACTGGTGGCTTTGGAAGAGGTGCGGCATCTTACGGGAGAGGAGGACAGGAGGACGGTCAGCCTGTCAGAAGCGTGAGGAGCAGGACAGGTGCCGGGCTGCCAGCACAGGTCTGTTTGCCGTCAGCAAGCACAGGGGGCTTTAGAGCTGAAGGCAGTCTTTGTAGCGTCATCAGGGCACCCCGTGCAGCAAACTTAGGGCGCTGAAGCTTTCATGGGGCGTTCTGTTGAAGGCTCTGTTTTGCTCACGACATGTGTTTTGGCCTTGAAGTGGAAAGTCTTTCTGACAAAGGTAGCTCCCGGCTGCAACGTACCGTGGGAAACGGCAGCGCTTCTTCCACACATACCTTTGTGTCTGTTGAAACGTTCCTCCTGCCTTTTCAGAACTCTTCTTCTGAGGCATCTCTGTGGCCTGTGCCCACGCTGTAGGGTCGCTGTTGACAGCTGGGTGAGCTTTGTGGAAACGGGGCTGTGAGAGGCCCTGTGCTTTGTCTCCCGTTGGGGCTGGAGTGAAGCTGAGCCCGTGCGGCTGGTCTAGCCCCTCGCTGGCTCTACTGGATGGCCTGCCTGCCTTGCTCTGAGCTGCAGAGTCGAGCCCAGCCCTGGGTCTTGCTTGGCGGTCAGGGAGCCTAGGACGGGCGCGCCGTTGCCTGTCTTCCACGTGACTGGGCTGTGCGCGTCTCCCAGCCATCCACATGCAGACAGACCCTTGGAACAGTCTGGAAGTGCTGATCCTGTGTCGGTTCTTGTGAGTCTGGGTCCCCGCAGTCACGAAGGCAGAGCGGTGCTTGCTGGCATCAGCGACAGATGTCGAGAGCCCTGCTTCCACCAGGCCAAGTGCTTTCTGGAAATGAGATTTCCGTCCATCCCTGCACGTCCCCGCCTTCAGCTGATCTGCCCATCAGGGACGTCCACCAGTCACAGTGTTTTTCCAACACACGCAAAGTCCAGGAGCTGTGCGGGTCCCAACTAGAGCGGCCCCTTGAAAGCTGCAAATCAAAACAAGTTGTGCATGTTTTGGCCAATCTCATCCTGGGGAAAGACCACATCCAGCTGTCCAGCCACTCAAAACCACAGCCCGGCTGAGCGGACGCATGATGTTAATACCGTGGGCAGCGTCGTAGAATTGGTTAATCGGGACATCTTGAATGCTAGTATTTGATGCTTTCTCTTGGTTGGGAAACTATCATAAAAGTGTGTAAACCTGAGGCAGGACTGAAGAATGTGAGTCTGGCTTGGCTGATGGCTCATCCTCATGGCTCCGTGATGCCAGCCAGGGAAGGGGAGGGTTTTCACGTGAATGGGACTTGGCCCTTGCAGGCTTTTCCTTCATGCAGCTTCCAGTTCCAGGACAGAGAGCTGAGGGACACAGATGTCACTACAGCCTCCTTGTTCTCGGGGGCAGGTTGCAGCTCCTGGCTGTTGAGGTGCGTCGTAGCACACTCAACCTGGATCAAGCTCTTGTGTCACATGATTCTAAGCCGTGGGGACGCCACCTGGCAGAGCAGGGCTGCCCGCAGGGCTTCGCAGGCTGTCGCCTTTACGGGGGCAGACCGCCAGCTCCATCTCCCGCAGAGCGGCTGGGTGGATTTGAACCGTTGACCTAGTTAGCAGCTGAGCACTGACCACCTTGCCAGGATGGTTTTGTGAAGAGATACTTAACGTCACTACGGTTGTGTCTGCTCATTGGAAGGTGACGGAGTCTTACTTCAGTGAGAACAACTGGAGACTGTAGACGTCTCGAGGGGTTTCTTGGCGCAGAGATGCCGGCCGGGCTGAGTGGTGTGGCTGTGGTGAGTTCTGTAGTTTGGCATCTGTAGTCGGGCATCAACCCCAGCCTGTGTTGGTGGCTGAAAGGAGGAAGGTCATGTCTCGCCCGACCGAGCACACGGGAGGATGGGATATCTCACCCAGCTCGCCGTCTGTGCTGGAAGGGCCTACTTCGAAGGCTTGCCTCGTGGCCAGCTAGTGTTTCTGCTCGCCCCAGGACCTCTCTTTATTCTGCTTTTGTGGGAACTTGCTCTCCTGCTGGTCTCAGGTGTGGCCTTATGTGGCTTATGTGGAGGACCATCTCCTTCCTGTGGGCCTGGGAGAGTGTGCATGCCCTTAACTTTGAAATGAGTGTCTCTGAGGTGGACGTGCTCCTAGGGACGGTGTCACAGGTGTTGGTTCCCACAGTGGTGAAGGTGAGGGGAAGGAAGAGAGGCCCCCTCGTAGGCTGTCCAGGAGTGAGTTCTGGGAGGCCTAGCCAAAACGGGGTGGCAGAGGGTGGAGGGCCACCACCTGTAAAGTTAGGGTGGCCTGAAATGCTGGTGGCCGGCTTTGGCAGAGGGGCATTCTTAGAAATCCAGACACTGTGCCTTGAGGGCGCTGCTTGACTGTGTGTCCTTGGGCAAACCACAGGATTCCTTGGGGCCTCACTTTGGCCAGCTGTAGAGTGGGACTGTCACTTTGTCTAGCACCACGGTGCCGCCAAGGAGGATGGCACATATGGTAGCGAGTGGCATTTGTTATCATTTATTCCTTTGTCCCGGGCCCCGCCGTTCCCACCGCCTCATACCTTATGCTGCAGTGGAAGTACCACCCTCCCTTCATGATGGCGTGTGCCTCCAGGCCTCCGGGAGGTGCTCCCTGTGGCTGAGTGTCCACACAGGCCAGTGGGCTCTGCGTGCCGAGCCCCTTCCCTCGTGACAGCGATGACCAAGGTCAGGGCCGGGGCTGGTGTGTGTGGGGGTGCTGCCTGTCTGCAGAGGACACAGACTCGGGGTGGGAGGTACGTTCGGGCCCTGAAAGCATTAACTGACTTCTCGCTACACTTAGGTAACAGACATTTCAAAAGCAATAAGGATAAGAACTTTTGGGGAGGGTTCAAGGCCAGCAGTGGGCAGCCTCACCTGGTGCAGAATGAAGCGGGGCCTTTCAGCATTTCCTTTCCTCATGCAGGTGTGAGGGGACATCCTAGATGGGACAGGGAGGGACACCTTGTCCCTCTGTCTGGGCCTCGTCTGCCCCTGTCCTTTGTGGTGACTGTCAACATAGCCGTTGTCTTGCGATGGAGTGGGGAGGATGTCTGGGGAGCTGGTGCGGGCCCTGGTGTGGCACGGCCAGCCAAGGGGCTCTGAGGACACTGGGGGCTGTGTCTGAGGGTCGTGTGCTGTGCTTAGTGGCAGGCTCGTCTGCGTTTGAAAAGAGTGGTTTTCGGGGCCCATCACTCACCTGTGTGTTAGGTGGGGACTGCAGGCCCTGTGAGGAGGCTGATTGGGGCAGTGCTGGCTTAGGTCAGGTGGCCGAGGAACCTGAGTGAGGGCCGCGTGTGAGGCTGGCCTGCTTTTCTCCGGGGCGCAAGCGTCCAGGTGGCCCTGGCTGCCTGCACTGTCCTCGAGCCTCCTGTGCTGGAGTTGGGGTCACTGGGCTTCTAGTTGTGCTGTCAGGAGTTTCCCATGAAAAACCTGCACAGGACTTCTGGGAAGTGGCCAGTGGTCCCTCCTCTGGTGACAGCAGGGTGTCATCAGAACAGGGCTGACCCAGTTCAGGCCGTGCCCTAGAAGTGAAGTGGCTCAGTGGACCAGAGCTCAGAGGCGAGCAAGCGAGTGGGCATTTGTGTATGTGATGCAAACGTGTGTTGTGCTTGTATGTGTGTGCATGGTGCATGTGTATCTGTATACATGTGTGAGTACACACATACATGTGTGTGCACGTAGGCGTGTGTGCATGGACACGTGTGCTTGTACGTGCATGGGTGCACTTGTGTATAGATGTGCTTGCACCTCTGCATGTGCATGTGTGCAGTTCGTGCGTGTGGATGCCACGTGTGTGTGCATGCACACATGTGTCAGTGCACACATGTACAGGGTGTTTACGGGTCTGTGCGCATGTGTGCATGTGTGTGTATGTGTGCATCAGTGCACACATGTACAGATGTGTTTGCACGTGGTGTGTGTACGCTTATGTGTGTGTCTTCCTTGATAGGAAGATGAAGGCACTTTCTGGTATGCCAACTGCGATCTCCCTGTGCAAAGTTAAGCTTTCCTCCATGTAACGGGTAAACCTGAGGAAGGCTTTTGTAAGCTGATGGCACATAGCAGCTGCTTCTGAAGCCCCTGCGGCAGGATTTGAAAGGGCTGGAGAAGGTTCTTGGGGTTGGAAGTGGTCTGCGTCGTTCTGCGTCCCTGCGACTCTTCCCTGCCCGGGCGTCATGGCTTGAGTCGGCTTGAGCCACCATTCGGCAGCCTTTTCCTCCGGCAGCCCTCTGGTGGTAATTAAACGGTTACGTTGAAATGGAGGCGCGCCGAGGGCGTGGTTTGCAGCAGACCTTCTGTTCCGGCACCGGCACGTGCTGAGTTTCTTCGTGGACGATGGGCGTCGGAAATTACAAACACGTGTACCGCTGTGGTCTCTCTCAAACCCTGGGGAAGTAGAGCAGGTACTACCAAGGCGCACTTGAAAACTGGGGACTCTGTTCCGGGGGGAGTCCCTGGGTGGTGTGGTGAGCGCGCTCCGCTGCTGCCCAAACGTTGCAGGTTCGCGTCCGCTCACAGGCTCCGGGGAAGAAGGTGCTGGCGCTCTGCTTTCGGAAAACCTGCCGTTGAAAACGCCGCGGGGCGCAGGTCTCCTCCGACTCAACGTGGGGTCGACTTGATGGGGACAGTTGGTTTCTTGGTATATTTCTGGGGTGAGGAGGACCCTGAATGTTTGATGTGTGCCTTCTCGGATAGCCATGCCACGGAATTAAGACTGCCACAGAGAGCAGTAAGGATTGCCCACAATTTAGGAAAATGCGGAAGTGTGCAGACCCCCATGCCCCCTTTCTCCCGTGTCCCAAGGTCCTGCTTCCCTGGCCTCAGCCGGCCCAGGCTCTCGGTGGCCGCGGCCCGGGGTGTGCATGGGTGTGGGCGGGGACAGTGGTTTCCATCTGCCGGGGGTGGGCGTCACTTGGCCAGGCGCAGTGGGTTTTCTTCCGAGGAGTGGAGCTGCCCGCCTGTGGGCTCGGGCCCTTGGCACACCCAGCCGGAGAGCCTGAGTTTGCCTTGTTTTCCCAGCTGGAAAGCAGGGTGTGGACTGGGGTCTTCTTGTGTCCCCCTTCGCGGTTCAGGACAGTGAGCTCAGAGCGTGGAGGATGCTTCTGGAAAACCTGAACATCTTGCGGCCACATCGTGTTGGGTGTTGGGCCAGAGCCTGAGGGTGCGCAGCTCTGTCTGGCCCTGTGTGGGGTCAGAGGTCAGGTGGGCAGAGCGGTATGCTAAGGAGGAATCCAGGGCCTTCCCTTCCCGGCCCTGCGGGAGGGCGGTCAGGCCTGTGCCTGCTGGTCAGCGGGGGCTTTGCCCGGCACAACCGGAGCTGTGCCATGGCATCAGGTGACCTTGCCAAAAGCACTTTGGGAGAAGAAGGTGCCAGAAGGAGGGCTGTGGGGCCGTGGTCCCGAGGTGACGGGCACCCGTCACAGTGTGTGAAGGGGATGTCTTGCTTCATTTTCACGCTCTGCACCAAACGTGTGGACGGCTGCTTGTGGCAGGCTTTTAGAGGGGCTCCTCGTGCATTTCACAGACGACTCTTCAGGGTTTTGGACGTAAATTTGTGTGAAGACTGATGGAGGGCAGACCACTGACGGTCAGCATACAGCCTGGACCCTGGACACAGGACTGAGCTTTGAAACGTGCTGCGTTCATGTCTGCAGTGTTGACCATGCTGGAGGTGTGGAAAAGGGAACGCACTCTTCAGAAACGTCAAAGCTCTTTTGTGGTGAAACAGTTAGTGAAGTCTGCTGCCTTCCCACCCGTAAGTGTGGGTTTAGGCAGCCGTCGGCCCCCCTGCAGGAGTGTGACCTCACCTGATTTTTACGGAACTGTAAGTGTGAGCAGAGTTAGTCGTTGGCACAGGGCTTACCTTCTCCTGTGCTTTTCTTGTTGTAAGATGAATTCATATTCACTGTAGTTGGTTTGGACAGCCAGGAAAACTACAAGAAGGAAGTTACCATCCCTGGTGCTCTCAGCTCCTCCACGGTCTGGGAATACATGTCAGTCTGGGTCTCTGTGTCTTTTTCTTATTTGTACCAAACTAAGCTCACCTGAGGAGTTCTGGTGGCGCAGTGGTTAACACATTTCGTTGCTAACCAGAAGGTCGGCGGTTCAAACCACCAGCAGCTTCGCCTGGGAAAGATGAGGCAGTTGGCTTCTGTGAAGACTGACAACCTTGGAGACCCTGTGGGGCAGTTCCACTCTATCCTCTAGGGGCGCTGTGGGTCAGAATGGACTCCAGGCAGTGGGTGTGGTTTGGGCTTTGCTTCTGTGAAGACTGACAGCCTTGGAGACCCTGTGGGCAGTTCCACTCTGTCCTCTAGGGGCG